GTCTGGGAACCAGCGAATGCAGCTCCTCGGAGCAATTGCTCTGAAAATATTTGTAAAACAGACAGAGAGAGGCGACGGCGAGAAAGTGATGTTATAAAATAACATAAATATTTTATAAAATTTTTAAAATAGTAATTGTTGGTTATTGGAATTATATACTTATATATATATATATATATATATATATATATATATATATATATATATATATATATATGAAGAAATCTAGTTTTAAAGTGTGGTATATTTATGGGATAAAGTGCTTAATATCAGAGATAGAGCGTATGTAAATATAAATATAAAATATATGCAATCGACAGGCCTGAGGATTTCGTCTAGCATGAAACAGTCTGTTGCCTCTGAGTGTTGACTTCAAAGTTCACTTTTTTATATATATATATATATATATATATATATATATATATAAGGAATAGTAGGATGTATTTATAAATTTGACATGTTTTACAATTGAACTTCATCAGTTTTGTGACTGAAAGGAATACTCGTTGCCACTTTTGTGATGTCAATGAATACTCGTTGTCACTTTCGTAATGCTCGTTGTAGTAGAGACTTTGTAATCGCAGATACAACTATAGTAACGCCGTTGAACAATACTGGTGTCAGACGCCTTCGAATAACACTCGCACTAATAGTAGTTGCTTGATAATACACGCTCGACAAGTAACCCGTATAGTGATACGAATAGAGAAATGGTGTAGTGAATAGAGTAGAGAATAGCGGTCCTTATAGTAATAGAAGATAGACTAGAAATGCGATCAATTAGACGCTAAGGTCCTTTCTACTTATCCGTTTCTTCCATGGTCACGTTATCTACTTAATTCAAGAATGGGGTCGCCTGTGTTTGCTCACTGGCGATCTAAGTTCAAACTCAAGTGTCGGCAGCAACTCTTTATTACTATATAACAATCAGAAATGTTTTCCTTAGATATAAAATTTATATTTCAACCTTTAAACTCAATATTTCCGTTATTTTCATTGGTTGTTCGCACATCACGTGTATATTTCATTATATTAGATTAAAAATTTGATTCAATATGACCAATGATGGCAGTAAAATGTGTAATACGATGACATATCAGCTGCAAGTAAACGGATAATTTTACAATATCATGTTTCTCACTGAAGTTATAGCTTATGGCAATCTTCATCTATATTTTTGATGTTACGAAGTAAATACAGCCAGACCTTTTTAATCCCATTGTCTGGTACCTTTTTGAATCAGACGCCATTATTTCGTTGAGCGGCAACGAGTCTAGCACATCACGTTGTTTACAACTTTCCGCGGTAGCCGACAGCAGTAGTGTGTTTTGGTGATAAGGCCTTGTTAATTTCTTATGTATTGCTGCATACAGTATAGTAAATATGAATTTTACAAGTTAACGGAACTAAATCAGCCTCACACATTTCACACACTGTTTAAAAATCATTTTTAGCAGATACATATATATGAGGGTTACTAGCCCGTCTATTATATTAAAGTTTAAAAATCTAGACCGTCTAGTCTGTTTTTAGTATCTGTCTATATTTCTGAGATGAGGTATTATGTACACTATTTACATTATTCGGACTATTGTCCTCATCTTTGTCGCCATATTTATTACAACGTTTCAGCCCTTTAGTATCTGTCTATATTTCTGAGATGAGGTATTATGTACACTATTTAATTTATTCGGACTATTGTCCTCATCTTTGTCACCATATTTATTACAACGTTTCGGCCCTTTAGTATCTGTCTATATTTCTGAGATGAGGTATTGTGTACATTACTTACATTATTCGGACTATTGTCCTCATCTTTGTCACTATATTTATTATAACGTTTCGGCCCTTTAGTATCTGTCTATATTTCTGAGATGAGGTATTATGTACATTATTTACATTATGCGGACTATTGTCCTCATCTTTGTCGCCATATTTATTACAACGTTTCGGCCCTTTAGTATCTGTCTATATTTCTGAGATGAGGTATTATGTACACTATTTAATTTATTCGGACTATTGTCCACATCTTTGTCGCCATATTTATTACAACGTTTCGGCCCTTTAGTATCTGTCTATATTTCTGAGATGAGGTATTATGTACACTATTTTCATTATTCGGACTATTGTCCTCATTTTTTGTCACCATATTTATTATAACGTTTCGGCCCTTTAGTATCTGTTTATATTTCTGAGATGAGGTATTATGTACATTATTTACATTATTCGGACTATTGTCCTCATCTTTGTCGCCATATTTATTACAACGTTTCGGCCCTTTAGTATCTGTCTATATTTCTGAGATGAGGTATTATTTACATTATTTACATTATTCGGACTATTGTCCTCATCTTTGTCGCCATATTTATTACAACGTTTCGGCCCTTTAGTATCTGTCTATATTTCTGAGATGAGGTATTATGTACATTATTTTTCATTATTCAGACTATTGTCCTCATCTTTGTCGCAATATTTATTACAATTTATTCTAGACGTTGTACGCTCCGGCCTTCTTGAAGTGGTTGGAATGTCGAACTGAACCCTTTATTTCGCTCACTGAGGTAGACTGTTCTAGTTCCACGTTCCATGTCTAATGGATGTCAGTTATCAGTTATCTCCTGTTAATTCCCCTCTCCAAGTTATCCGCTGTCTTAATCGTATTTTAAAATAACTTTGAATTTTTTGGTGAGTCTATAAATGTGCCGATTTTTTGTAAATACGAATGTCTATACACGACATTATCAGAAAATAAGGGCAATAACTATAGTAAGTTTAAATCCAAAGTACCTTAAATTCAGTAAGACTTTAGAATATTTTCTTAAATTTTTTTGATTCCTTGATAGTTAAAAATTTTTATAAAGGCACTCACGTTATATTCGTCAAGTAATTTTTACAGATATGTTCCCCATAGAAAAAATTCCAAATATAAGTAAATCGAGAAAGTTGTCAACACCTCATAAAAACACCCACCTCCATGTTAAAAATGTTTTTCTGCTATATTTTAAACTAAAATTAAGTAATAGCTTTTTTTTTCAATTCAGTATAATTAAATCAGCTAATCTTCCTCAAATAAAGTCCCAGAAAAGTATATTTAATTTTTGAAAGATTTTTTTAATTAACTGAATTACGTTGTTCTGTGTGACTTTTTCTTCTTTGTGGCATCCGTTGGCCTCGAGAAACTTTGAATCTGTACCCAAAGAGTTATGCCTCAGCTGCTGATTTGCATTTGTTATGTCTGTACGGGCCCACACAGGAGTGACAATGTCGATCTCCCCCGATGCCGCTGTGTTGATTTCTATCCGTCGAACACACTTCTCCCCAGTGGCAAGCCTTCTTCTCTCCTCTCCTCGCTAGGGCCCTCCAGCGTCACTGACCGTTGACAACGTCTTCCCATCACCTTCATGTCTAGTTGTCTCTTTTGCAGACGTCCTTTAAGCGAATATGAGGTCGTTTTCGCGCCCTCTTGCAGGTGGTCAGTTCTTCGTACAGAAAGACCTTCGGAATCCTCCCATACGGTGAACATGTCCAAGCCAGCAGAGCTGTTGAGTTGATAGAATTGTAAATAAGGCTAAAGTCAGCTATTTTTAGCTGTTTAAAATAAAAGCAGCTTCAGATTAATTTAAATTCAGTTTGAAATACTGCAAAGTATTTTGCTTCTTGGAAATATTAAATTTAATCTATTAGCTTGAAATTGAAATTAAAATAAAAATTTCAAGGATTTCTCATTTTAAAAATTCTTTTTAAACCTTAGATATCACTTTTCTTTGGGTACCTATATATATATATATATATATATATATATATATATATATATATATATATATATATATATATATATATATATATATATATATATATATATATATATATATATATATATATATATATATATATATCCAAGTATACTTACGTTATAATTTTTATGTATATATATATATATATATAATTATTTTTATAAAGAAATTTATAACATAAGTATGTTATAAAATCACTACAAAAATAGCCATTTTGTTTCAACACACTCTGTGTCTTATCAAGTGATGGTGTTGAAAAGAAAAAAAAATATTGTTGGTTATTGGAATTCATTCCGTGTATACCAATTATATACTTTGGTATATATATATATATATATATATATATATATATCCAAGTATACTTATGTTATAATTTTTTTATAAATAATAATTATATATATATATATATATATATTAATACTTCTCGTTTTCACTCTCGCGTGGTCATGTGTGATGTCACGAGCTGCGACGCGATTTCCGCTTCCGCGTCTCGTATACACGAGTTTGTCGTTGCTTTGAAATTTTTCATGCAAAAAAAACAGACTATCATTATTGTTTCGTCCGTGTATTGGTTGATATATTGAAAAGTAATTGTCATCTTTGATAATGGCTTATGTAAGCCGAAAGCTTAGATTGGATTTAAACATGTATCAATATGGTGATTTCCTTTCGTCTTTCAATGATAATGTTATTAAATCTATCAGACAATATGAAAGGAACTTACTTAAAATAAATAGACAAAACTTGTCTGTATTATTTAATGAAAAATTGCTGCCTAAATACACACACAGACACATACACACACACACATATATATATATATATATATACACAGACAGACTGATTCGCAGCCCATCAGTGTGGCTAGACATCCGATTCCTTCAAGCCGATATCGATACCCGACTGATTCGCCAACAGTCGGAGGAGATTTTCCCCCTAAGACATCGGCTGAAAGGAAGGCGAATTTTTACGTGCTTACTCTGGGAATAAACACGCCAATGACTGACAATGTTCAATTCAGAGAAACACACACACATACACACACACACTCTCTCTCTCTTTCTCTCTCTCTCACACACACTCTCTCTGTCACTCTCTCTGTCCTCTCTCTCTCTCTCTCTCTCTCTCTCTCTCTCTCTCTCTTTTATTCCCTCTCCCACTTCCACAGATAGCTGAACTTTCGACTCGTTCGGCGCCACCAACTCAATGACTTTCAAGAATGCATCGCCGTTTTCAAGATTCCCGCCTTGTATTCACCTGAAGACGCCGGCAGTATCCTCCATCCTCTCTACGGTAAAAGCCATCAGCCGTAATACAGAATTGACAGCTTGGCGCTGAACTGTATGACATCCAGGTAGAGACCGTTAGACGGCGTAACACGTCATCGGATTGAAATCGGCGTCAGCGAATGAACGAAGAACGCATATAAGCGGCGAGGAGATAATATTAAACATTCGATAGAAAAATGCAGTCAGTTAGACAAATAGGATGAACATAATCTCGAACGCCTACGCATGTCTGTGTTAATAAAATTAAAATTTTCGTTTTTCCAGGAAACTTAACACATAAAAATAAAAGACAAGTTCCAACTGTCTTTTATTCACAAACCCTCCTTCGCAAAATGTTACGTACTGGATATCACTGAAATTAGAGCCTCTCTTGGCCAAGCTGACTGAGAGACGATTGACTCATTCGGGGACTTTGGTCATCGGATTATCGAAATATCGAAATATCATCCGATGACATCATACTAATTATAAAACCCAGGTTGTGTGTGGGTGTGTCTGTTCGTTTGTATATTGGATCGGATTTCCTACATTTTTCAACCAATTCCAACAAAACTTCACAGGACTACGTAAAATTACCTTGCGGTGGTTCTGACAGCGCCAAAAATTGGAAAAACACAATTGTTTTTTCACGAAATCAATTTGAAAACACGATTAAAAGGCATCGCTGTTTCGAGAATGAAAGGGGAACACCTTATATCGAGTTATACTTATTATAAAAACCCAGGTTGTGTGTGTGTGTGTGTGTGTGTGTGTGTGTGTGTGTGTGTGTGTGTGTGTGTGTGTGTGTGTGTTCGTTTATATATGGGATCGGATTTCCTACATTTTTCAACCGATTTCAACAAAACTACACATTTTTTTTTTTTGGCAGGTAGTGTTTTTTATTGTCTTGCACACTTTTTTTTATTTTTACATTCAGAATGCTTTAAAAATTCCATTTACAAGACAATTGTTTATAATAAAATTCTATTCAATCGGTAGACTCATAACGATTGAAAACAATGTTTTTGTTTGAGTTTGGGTTTGACCAATTCGTAAAAAAAAAACTAATTAAGACATGCGTGTCCGTCAACCTTAAACAATAATCTTTGTCAATTTTATTTTTCAGTCTTTATGATGGTCGATACTTGATCTATCTCTTACTGTTACATCCCCGGGCAACGCCGGGCTCTACTGCTAGTATTATAATAATCGTTCAATATTTGATGATTTTTATTTATTTATTTATTTATTTTTTAAATGTTGGATACTGAAAGATATTTTCAATTGAGTACTGTTGAACGACAATCTACTTCTAAAAACAACGGTCAACTGTGTAGATGCGAAGCTCTTCAGTAAAATGAATGGAGCACTTTGGCTGCTTGACATTTGTTTACGGTTGTAAAAACAATACGCTAGATTTGGCTGACTCATTCTGTCGAGTGAAGATTGCTCAGTGGTAGGAGCTCTGATTGATACCAAATCGGTTGGGTTTTGATCCGGGCTTGAGGTATTCGGTTGTCTTGTCGCACTGAGGAGCTGCGAAACAGTACTGTCTGCGAATGACGTAATATATATATATATATATATATATATCATTCGCAGACAGTAATGCTTGCGAATGACGTGCAATGAGCTTTCGAGGCTATTTTTTTATCGTTTCACCCCAAGCAAAGCGATAATTGCATGAGGACGCATAAAATTACTAGGAATGAAGGCGAATAAGAAAGCTTTAATGAGAAGTGAGGAGAAAGGACAATAAAAGAACGGATTTCAGAAAGATAGAAGATGGTGATTAGCGATGCATTTAAAGTTTTGAAGATTGTAGTTGATAGGGAAGCAAAAAATAAGAAAGGGGTTCCGCAAGCAAGAAATGCGGGGAAAGAAACTATTAGACGGGTTTGTCTAGGTAATTCAACAGCAAAACGCTGGGACCTAATTGCCAATCTAGTAGTACGCTGAAATTCATGCAGTTTTCCTTAATGTCCAATCAATCGAAACGAAAAATAACTTCTTTAAAATTGCATCTGTTGTCTCTAATGCGTAACTGCAAGTAAAATATATATATACTCTGCATAAAAAGAACTGTGAAATGACAGTAAAGTTTCTCTCATCTTTGGGATATATAGCAGTTCGTTTTTATCGCCTTCACTTTCTTGTGCTCTCTCTCTCTCTCTCTCTCTCTCTCTCTCTCTCTCTTTCTCTCTTTCTCTTTTTCTCTCTCTTTCATACACGCGCGCATACACACACATGTACTTAAGGTCATTTATGTCTCTTTCTTTTTCCTATCATTCTCGCTTTTTACGGAATTATATTTATATTTGTCTCTCGCTCTCTCTCTCTCTCTCTCTCTCTCTCTTTCGTTTCCTTCTCTCTCCCTTCTCTCTCCCTCTCTCTCTCCCTCTCTCTCTCTCTCTCTCTCTCTCACACACACACACACATACACACACATGCTCACTATCCTTGAATTCTTCTTCTCTTTCTTTCTGTTGATATTGTTTTACATATTTCTCTCTCTCTCTCTCTCTCTCTCTCTCTCTCTCTCTCTCTCTCTCTCTCTGCTATCACTATCCCATACTCGCATAAACATACACGATCTCATTGAATTATTCTGTCCGTTTTCTTTTTTACTCTCTCTCTATTGGTATTGATTTTCGCCAGTTAATCTCTCTCTCTCTCTCTCTCTTTCTTTCTTTCTCTCTGTAACAAATACGCGCGTGTGCGTGCACATGCGCACACTCCTTTGAAGTCTTATTTCATGTCATTCAACTGACACGAAGCCTTGGTCAAAAAGACATCCGCCATCATTGAACTCGGCAAATCTCGTTCAATTATTAACTGTTTTTTTCTCCTTTTTTTTTTTTTTTTTTTTTTTTTTTTCAGGTTATTTCATTTCATGCCTTTCATGTGTCCTCGGCATTTTTCTCACCTTTATATTGTCTATTCAATTTGGCGTCGGTAATTTTCTCCCCATTCTATCTCATTTCTATCCCCCCCCCCCCACCACACACACACACACACACACACACACACACACACACACACACACACACACACACACACACGCTCCCTCCTTTCTCTTTTCTACCCTCACTTTTCTGACTTCCTTTCTGATTTCTATCCTCTTCTCTCTCCCTTCCTTTCTCATTACTAACCCCACTCTCTCTCTGCCTTCCTTTGCTCCCTCGTTCTCTCACTTCCTTTTTCATTTATATCCTTCTCTCTTTCTTTCTTTTTCTTTTCATTCACATTTCTACCCTCCCTTTCTCCTTTACTTTCTCATTTCTACCCTCTTTCTTTCTCTCTCTCTCTCTCTCTCTCTCTCTCTCTCTCTCTCTCTCTCTCTCTCTCTCTTTCATTTGTTTTCCGTCTACTTCTCATTTTCTTTCATTGTCACTTCACTTATTCTCTCCGTTCGTTTCTCTCTCCGCCTCTTCTTTCTTTCTTTCTTTCTTTCTTTCTTTCTTTCTTTCTCGCTTTCAGTCTCATTTTCACTTTGAATATTCCATTGCTTACTTCGCATTTCTCTCTTTCATTTCCGTTGTCTATCATTTTCATTCCTCTGCCTTCTTCTCTTGAATTTTTTTTATCTCTTTTGTTTTCATTCCTCAACCCTCTTCTCTTTCATTCCTCTCCCTTTCCTATTTCATTTCCTTCACCTCTAAGCTTTTAAAATCTTTCCCCCATTTCGTTTTCATTCCTTTATCCTTTTTCGTTTCATTCTTCGTCCCGTTTCGCATTTATAACTACCCATTTTTTTCTTCGTAAATTTACAATCACCCACACATTCTTCTCTCTCTCTCTCTCTCTTCTGCCTCTCTCTCTCTCGCTCTATCTCTCTTCTGCCTCTCTCTCTCTCGCTCTCTCTCTCGCTCTCTCTCTCGCTCTCTCTCTTCTGCCTCTCTCTCGCTCTCTCTCTCTCGCCCTCTCTCTCTCTCTTTCTTCTGCCTCTCTCTTTCTTCTGCCTCTCTCTCTCTTCTGCCTCTCTCTCTTCTGCCTCTCGCTCTATCTCTCTTTTGCCTCTCTCTCTCTCACTCTTCTGCCTCTCTCTCTCTTCTGCCTCTCTCACTCTTCTGCCTCTCTCTCTCTTCTGCCTCTCTCTCTCTCGCTCTCTCTTCTGCCTCTCTCTCTCTCTTCTGCCTCTCTCTCTCTTCTGCCTCTCTCTCGCTCTCTCTCTTCTGCCTCTCTCTCTCTTCTGCCTCTCTCTCTCTCTTCTGCCTCTCTCTCTCTCTCGCTCTCTCTCTCTCGCTCTCTCTCTCTCTCTCGCTCTCTCTCTTCTGCCTCACTCTCTCGCCCTCTCTCGCCCTCTCTCTCTCTCCTCCCATATATTTAATTTTATGACTCGGCAGGGTTTTAAAACTAAGTTGAGTAGTTAATATTTTAAAATTTAGGTCAAGGTTATTTAAACTGTTTAATTGAACCAGACACTCCCACTTCTACCACCTCCTTATTCCTTTTCTTTTTTCTTTTTAAACTTTTTCTCTCTTCCTCTTCCTTTATTCCTTTAATGTCTCTTCCTTTTATTCTTCCCTTATTTCTTTAATGTCTAGATTCTCCCGATAATATTGGAAATCTATGTAAACTTATGTCTAGACATTTATTCTCTCTTTCTGTTTTCTTTTTTCTTTTTCTTTCTCCCTTCCTGTCTTCCTTATCTTCTTCTTTTACTCTTTAAATGTTTAAATTTTAAGGTTTTATTTCATTTCCTAACATCTCTGGATTGATAAGGTCCACAAGAAAATCTTATGGATCAAAATAGCTATTTTCCGAATGAGGTAGTTTTGACTTTTTAATCTTTGCATTTTATATGTTCTGTTATAATAAAGACATTGAGTTCTTTTTGTGGATCAGTTTTAATATTTCATATTATTAGGATTCACTTGGATTATATACCTTCGGATTATTACATATAATACTAATAATCTTATAGATATAAGCAGCTATACTCGTCCGGCAAAACCTTAGGTGTTTTAGCTTGTAAATGAACAGACCAATACCCAAGGGGAAAAAAAGGGGGGAAAAAAGAAAGAACTAAAAACATGTACTTCCGGCGAAAATAATCGTTTAGAATCTAAGTTCAGAATCCAAAGAAAAAAAAAGCCCTCCCACGCGAGTAAAGTAAAAATAACTAAGCAAAGTAGAGCAAACTAGGTAAACCTAAAGAGCCAGATAAACCTACCTAGGTTTCACCTAAGCGGATCGTCAGGGTAAACTTGCTCTTTAACAGTTTACCCAGACGATCCACGTAGGTGAAACCTAGGTAGGTTTGTCTGGCTCTTTAGGTTTACTTATATATATATATATATATATGAAGAAAAATTTGGAAAAAACAAACAAAAATCCTTAAATGCAATTATATTGTTTAAAATGAATGAAATGTCGACGTCTGACGTCTGTCGTTTCGGTTTAATAAACCTTCTTCAGGACAATATTCATTAAAATACAATTCAGTTCAATTTGACAAAGACGATGGACATAAAAACAAGTCTTATCCAAAACAGATAACTGAAAATTTTTAAAATGATCAGCTTTCCGTTTAGCATGGTCACGTTGTCGTCACATGGGCGACGCTTTCAAAACGTATTCCTAAAAAAATTTTGATTATTTTGAATGAAAAACAAAATGAAAAGAATTCTATTAGGATCTAAAATTTTTATGTGTATGCTTGTCGATCATTAATCTCGCTAAAAAGGGGAAATACTAAAGAAACCAGGTCTAGTATTCACCGTGCGTGAGATGGATATTATGCCTGCTTCATAAATCCTACATCATTGAAAGGTACACTTTCAGTTGCCTCTGATAATATTTCGTTTGGTCGCATCTTTCTACCAAATAACCATTTGACCGAACGTATCTCTCATAATCTAAATGCATTAAAAATTAGAACTACTATATTACCTACTAGGACTATCCGTAGTTCATTAAATAGCACCAGCAGACAACATATTACATCCGATGCTTGCATCTATCAAATATCATGAAAAAACTGTGACCTAAAATATGTGGGTGAAACATGTAGGTCCGTAAAATCTCGTGTTTTCGAACATAAACGAGATATTCGCCTCAGAAATTTTAACAATGCTTTAGTTGTACACACAACTAAAGCAGATCATAATTTCGATTTCGATTCCATGAAGGTATTAAAATATTTTCATAATAAAAATCTCAGGAGGATTCACCCACATATTTTAGGTCATTATTAACTACATTTACCGGCCTGAATGTTCAAGAAATTTCATAGAAAATATGTATCGTTCGACACGAATCGAACCTGTATCCTACATGGAACCGTCATATAGTCTTACGTTCTATACCATTTAACTTCAGAGGAAGTGCAAGCGTGTGTATATATATATATATTAAGAAATGGACAAAGTCCGACAATATATTTATTAAGGACATTTTTATGTTCTTTTTTATAGATACAAGTATTTAAGTAAATGCTCTGTTTATAATAAACAGTATTAAATAACATTTACCGGCCTGAATGTCCGAGAAATTTTCATAGAAAATATTCGTCCTTTGACAGGATTCGAACCTGCAACCTATACGAAACCGTCATTTACACTGACGTGCCTTAACCGCTCGGCCACAAAGGGTCGTTCGGTTGTGAACGTTGAATTTACTGCTTATAAACTTCAATCTTCCATGAATGCCAACCGAACGATCCATTGTGGTTCCGTATAGGATGCAGGTTCGAATCCTGTCAAAGGACGAATATTTTCTATGAAAATTCCTCGGACATTCAGGCCGGTAAATGTTATTTAATACTGTTTATTATAAACAGATCATTTACTTAAATACTTGTATCTATAAAAAAGTTAAAATATAAAAACGTTAAATATAAATATATATATATATATATATATATATATATATATATATATATATATATATATATATATATATATAATCCAGTGTTCTTATTGATATTTTTATTTTACAAAACAGTGCTCAATGTAAATTTAAATTTACACAGCATAAATGTTACAAATTAACTGATTTAAAATGTTTTTTCGCTACACAGTAATAACCATGTTTCAAAAACTGAAGCTAAAAACTTCAAATTTAATTATATAATTAAATTAATATAAATATATATATAATTTTTATATCTTTTTTTTCTGATTTTTTTAAAATGTTTAATTTCTATGAACTTTTATTTATTTTTTCTTGATTTTTATTTTACGGGCTTCTTCTTCATCATCTTCCTCTTTTACTTTTCTTCTTTTTTTAAAATTTTCTTCTTTCTCTATTTTTTCTCTCTCTTTTCTACTTCTTCTTCTTTACCTTTTCTTCTTCTCATCTTTTCTTCTTTTTTCACCATTTCTTCGTATTGTTCTTTTGTCCTTTTTCTTCTCTTTCTTCTTCTTCCTCTTCTTCTTCTTCCTCTTCTTCTTCTTCTTCTTCTTCTTCTTCTTATTCCGTCTCTTTTTTAATTTTTCCCCTCAATCTCTTCCACTATTAACTATCCTCCTCCTCTTCTTCCTTTTTTTTTCTTTGTTTCGTTCTCCATCACTTTCGCCCTGCCTTCTTTCTCCTACTTTTCGTTTCTAGAATTTCTCTTCATCCTCAACACAAATGGCCTCCAAATCCAGTCTCTCAACCGCGTTTCAGGGAGGAAAAAAAGTTTACCGTCATTCGGCAATCA